CTGTTTGTAACACGAACCAGAAGTTGACTATATCCTCAAAGGCCAGGTCTCCTTCAACTACCACCTCATACACTATATTAACAAGTTTCAGGTTTAAAACTGGCAGCTTAATAAGAAAATACGAACATGAATGAAATACTAAATATAGAGCTATGCAATAAAGTTGGAAGTGCATCATTATCACCGATCAAATTATTTTTTTTAAATTGACAAGTGGTTAGACTATCATGTAAAGGCTAAAGCAGCAATACAATTTTTAGCTACCCAACACAAACACAAGGGTGGATGTATGGCCAAATTTTGGGGTTGAGATGATAAAGTCTAGAGACACGGTTTAACTTTAGAAACTCACAGGTGGCAAGCATTTCACTTCCTGAAATCAATACCTCAAAGATCCTTGTTTTCTTGTGATGGTACCTGAGCTGGATGCAGAAGATCAGTTAACAAGCTTTGCCTAGATGATGATCAACACTGATATGCCAAAGCATAACCCGTGTTTTGTATCCTTAAATCACTAAGTGTCCGCACTAAATGGCAATTCCTTTAGACTTAAATCTCAGCAATGTATCACAGCCCTCAAAAAAGCAAATACTGTATTTTAGTTTTATAACAAATATTAAATTTTATCCATTAACCTTATGGTTACAAAAAAAAATGCAGCTAGTGATACGAGAGGCCTAATGAGATTATAATCATTAGACCGCCTGCTGAATTACCATCATTGCTAATCGTGTGACGTGTTGCAATTGAACTATGTCATGCTCCCCTCGTGTAGTCCAGAGATAAAACAGATTCTCCTCAGGAGAGTCTGCAACCCAGCAGCACAAGAGTCACAAATCTTGTATTTGGAAATAGGCTCAAGCAACTAACAGGCTGCATGTCCAAGTAGAAAACTGCATCAGAGCGTTGGTAATGCAGACCTATAGCATGGAAACACCTCAGCACCTGTAAAAACAGTCACATTAGAAAAACAGCACAAACTCCATCCTTTTTGGATTATACATACATTTATGCATTCTGCATATCTTGCATCCTGGAATGCAAACATGCAGTCAGAGTAGTTGGATGTGGGCACAAAACTCAGCAAACATCAAATACACTGAAGTGAAAAAGCAGCTCCTGGAAATTCTCTGCCTGGAATTCTGCAGCCACTCTCCTCCTAGCTTGCAGTCCAGACGATGCCCTTTTCAAAGGCTGCCTGTGTCAACTTTCAGGTATTCACAAAGCAGTGCTACAGAGCAACACAAGGCATGCTGCCAGAAATCATCTTCTGCTTCTGTTTCGCCTGCTTAGGGTGAATCTGACGGTCACAACAGCAGCTTTCCTGCAGGATTGTGCCACATGACAACCTTGCATCCTTGCCTATATTTTGTGTTTGCAGCCAGAAGCCAAAGATCACAATCCCAATGGACAAAACAACGGGCACGTGAAGCTTTAAACCTTGCGAAAGAGAAAAAGCACAACATATTTTGCAAAGCAGGGTATTGCTACATTTGCCAAACGTCTTTCCCCCACAGAATTTTTGCTGGTTTAGTTGAAGATACTTTCCACATGTCTTTCTACTCAGATGCAGGTTAGCTACTGTTTTAAACATTCTTTTCAAGGCTGGAAAACTGGGTGTTTAATACTCCCCCGAAAAACCTTACAATAGCTGTAACCTTTAAATTCAACACTGTAAAAACTGACAGCATCTGACTGTTCTTCTACAGCATGAGAGTTCAAAGAGCTGAGCACAGACAGCAGATTTTGTGCATTAGCTTGCATTTTATGAGGATGAGAAGATGAAAATCACCTCTGCATAGCTACAAAAAAATGCAAATAGTGAACAAACTTGTCCATTTACACTATCAGAAAATAGGCCAAAACCTGAATAAATATGAGAACTCAGCTCTCCTTGTTTCTAAATACAGTCCTTCCAGCTCAAATCACAGGTATGTCAGATGCAGACAAAGACTTGCTTCCCACCTCTTTTCTATGGGCAATTGAGAATTTTAATCTTCAGCTAATGAATTCTGCTACCAGTAAAAGGTTACACAAAGTGATAACAGAAAAGCAAGAAGAATTAATGGAGCACAAAACCCAATTATTTTGAATCCTCTTTCACTGCTTATAAATGCTTTATTTCTTACTACAATACACTAATCTTTTAGCGAAGCATAGCCCTACTGTAGGTGGCTGGTGGGTTGGAAAGGTTATTCGAGCGAGATTAAGTGTACTTGGTAAAAAAAATGTTGAAACATTTGCCTTTCCTCTCTACCATATAAACAAAATTCCACGTGGGAACAAAGTAAGCAATTCCCAGCTCTGTTCTGAACAAGTAAAGCAAGAGCGGTGTGACTCTCCCTCTCAATTTAATGTGACACAAAACGTGTCTTCTCCCACTCCCCAGATTTACAGTGTCCAAAAAACTTTGTGTTGATGGCAGCTTGAAATAAAATTTCTCTTCTAGGGCACCACGCTGAATCTAATCACCATGTAAGACTTATATCGCAGCCAGGAGAACCAAAGGTACCAAAGTGAGTTTGCACACTAGCTAGCTTTTAATGTAAACCAAAACCTTTTACTTCTCCCACACCTGGTTCATGGATTTTTGGATGTCTGTTTGGCTACAAGATCCAGGAGCTGATCTGTATTAAAGGCTAATCTAAATGAACATGTCGGATAGCATAGGAAGACCAAATCTGCAGAGAAAAACAGCTGATGCTGAGGATCTGACATCCACACTCTATACGTGAAATGGGAGGTGTGGTGCCAGAGAAGTTGTAGTCTGGTCCCATGGACCAAATGCTGATCAGCTGTAGGCAGAATATTTTCCAGTTTACTTTCATCCCAATTTAATCCAACTCTCCAACTTCATTTCACAGTGCAAAGCAAGGTACAGTAGGCAGGTGCAATCAGGAGCTTCACCTCAAAAGCACCTTCCTGACACAAGCTATAATGCTAATGTAGATACAACTGCAACTACCACAATTTTTTCAAGAGTGTTAAGACTCTCCAGATGGAAAATAATGGCTAGAAGCCAACCAGCATTTCACATGGAAAGAGCGCTCCAGCTCATTTAATTCAGCACCAAACCATCCCCTGGATCCCCACTTTTGTATTTTTGTTAAATCACCATAAAGGGCTGTGTGGGGCTTCATTCCTGGCTAACGAACTCAAGAGGGATACATGGGGCTCAGTATAGCCACGTTGAGCAGTAGACAACAGAGGAACAAGATTAAGTACCTAAATGTTTTCACAGACAGGGGGTACAGGGCAGAGAGATGAAAGAACACAGGATACTTGCACATTCCCAGTAGTAAGTAAAAATGTCAATTCTGAATTGCTAAAAGTAGAAGCAAAGCCGTCATGGCTCTGAGACACCTTCAGGAGGAACACGGCCTCTAGTCATCCTCTGTACTTTTCAGGTTAAAAACCGGACTTTTGCTTTAAGCATCACAATTTATCTCACATCTGATCTTCTCATTAAAAATGGCCCAGGCAAATAATGTTTTAAACATTTCCCCATGTGTGGTTATTTCCAGTTGGCAGGTATGGGTAAATGATACCATGACTTGGAGGGACCTAATTGCAAATCATGTTTAGAACAGATCTGCTAAAGTGGTTTTTCTCCATTGCAGAAAGGACCTTTTCATGTGTCACCAATATTTTCACAATGATATTTCATTGAGCATTCTTCCTTGGTCCGTCATAAAACTCACATGTAAGAGACATAAATGAGGGCACAAGTCTGCAAAGACTAGTTATTTAGGCTATATTTTAAGCAAATTTAAGAATGACTAATCACTCTGGGTGCCTTACTTGAATTACTTGCAAGGGCCCCATTTTCAAAGAGCCCATAAAACAGACCCCTCTCAGGAATCACAAGTTTGGCCAGCCACACTTTGAAGAAAGCCAGTACTGAACATAAGTTAATACAGTATTTGCATACATATCCACCTAAAGCAGGAGACCACAAAGAAGTCAGGAACATTTTCTTCTGGGAAGTGTTAGTAAAAGGGCACAGTCACTGGGACACTAGTCCTTCATCCAAAAGCAAGTAAATGTATCCTTGTAGAAGCACGTAGGTGAGTTCCTCAGGTAAAAATAAGAAGACAGGCAGGAGAATCTTTCTTTTTTGATTTGGTAATAGAATTTTAAGCAGGGGTCCCAGAAACATCTTGAGCATGTCACTGCCTTCCAGCAAGCCACTCCAGCTGACAGAGTGCTGCTGACAGGTTCTCTTCATTCAGAGAGAGCGCCGACAGCCTAACCTTATGCCTTTAGCAAAGTCTAAGGCACATCCCTGTGTCACATTACAGTGCGTACCCCAGAAATAGAAGGAATGAGAAACTCCTCATTACTACACTGTCTTCAAGTGAGGCTTGTGAAATGGAGAAGGGAGCAAGTTTTTGAAAGAAGAAAACATATACCTGACCCATCGCCTTTTACTAAAGCTGTTAAGTGAAACCGAGAGGACCTCAAAAATAAAACATTTGCTCTTTGGTCTTGCTTCAAGTTGTTATCTATAAGTCATCTCGTTTGGAGGTACAAAAGGATGACAACACTATTTGTGAGGTTTTCAGTCGGTTTATGGAATACGTACATACAAAGTTACAACTGCCTCACAGGTCCGGGAAGCTGACAAACAAGAACAGAAACTGCAGGGGCAGGAAGCCTGTTAAAAGAGCGATTACCAGCATGCACCAAGTACATAAGGCACTTCTACCATAGTATGTTCTCCAGAAGACTCTTGTGTGCACTGTGATCAAATACAAACATTGTTTTGGAGGACAGTTACACTTGGAGCCATTACTCCCTTCCTCAGTACCAGAGGTGGCCCCGTACCTAGCGTACCAACACTTCAGAAAGGACCACGTTGGGAGGGACAGGGTGGGGCTCACATCGGATGTTTCTCAGGCAGAAACAGAGAACCCGATCTTTCGAATCCTCTGTGAAACCGTTCTCCGCTCAAAAACATGCATAAAAACATCAAGACAAAGAGTTTAAGTGATACTTACGCGGCATGATCCCTTGGCTCACCAGCTCCTCCCGTGTGCGTCGCTGCTGGAGCTTCAACTGCAGCACTGCACGACAGCAGAGAGAGGGAAGAGAAGGAAACCCATCAGTGCAAGAAACAACCGAAGGGACATTTTGAAAGGCATCTTGTTCTCTTCTTCGGATGCCAAGGCGCTAGCGAGCAGCAGAACAAAGAGGCCCCCCTCGCACCCTGCTCCCCGGTCCCACTGCAATTGCAGAAGTGCCCCTCGGCCGTCAGGTTTCCGTATTCTGCTGCGGGCAACAGGGAGAGGAAGTTGCGCAGGGTCTTGGCAGGGTGATAAAAATCCGCAAAGCCGGGCCCGTTTCTCCATTTTTCTAGAGCACCAACTTCTTTCCAAACCATTAATATTAAAAAACAAAGAGAAACACGGGCTGACAGTCCTCCAATAAACATAGAGTGCCAGCCCAGCTGCTAATGACTCCTGAAAACTCTAATGACCATGTGCGGATTAAATGGATATGACAAAATTATTGGTCGTTACTCTAAATTACGAGGCTGGTCTCCTTCCTCAACGCAGAAATCCACCTTCAGAAACACCTCACAAAAGTGAAATGTCATGGATATATCTAGAAGTGTCCTTGTTCCACAGCAAAAGGAATCCCTTATCACTAGAATTTTTCCTATTTATTTTAGCCTAACAGGTGACCTGTATGAAATGCAATTATCTATTCTTTTTTGTAATGTAAATCTCTGGAATAGTCATTATTTCAACATTTAGATTATAACAGCAGTTTCCCTTTAAACTATACCATCAAAGCAACATTCTGGAGACTGTTCTTACAGTCAAAGACAGCTTCCATATGAAACGGACCTTTCAAAACTGAAGAAAAAAATCACGTGCACGTGTGCGCACACACACACACACACACATACATCTCAATTTAGGACAACCCCTGAGTGAGCATCAATAGATACTGAATCCTTTTGCAGTCAAGCCCAAGCTCCTAAGTATACTCAACATAAAATATTATCAAATGAATGGCATGGCATCTTCTCTGTTTTCATTTCAATTTCTCTGTCAAGCTTCTCTCTGCTGTACAGTCCACACAAGAGAAGTCCTCGCAAATGTAGTGGAACCACCAGAGAGCAAAACGATGCAATCTCAGGAAAACCCTTACACTTCCTTGCTCAAGTACTTTGTCCCATACATTCATTTCACACATTATATCCAAATTCGTACCGTACACTCCCTAAAGTAGGGATCAAAAAGTTTAAGGAGAAGATGCCATTTCGCCTGCTTACACACGTCATCACATTTTACCTGTTTCTTTCAATCTCCTATTTGCAGTTTGCATTCGACTAAGACACACCTTCCAGTAAAGGTTCTGGTCTTCGCATGAAGTTAACAAGAGATCCATCTCTTCCTTGGTTGCTTGCACAGCGGTTAATCACCCTCACTTAAATGCACACTTACGTTTTCACTTAGATTTGTCTAGTTTCCACTTCCATTGGTTCTTGATGCGCCTTTCTTTGAAAGGTTTACGACAGCGAGAATATATTTCGTACCTGTGGAGGTACTTCTGTGCACACAGCGTGCAACCAAGTTACCAAAAAATCTTAAGCCAAACTAGGGTTTCTTAATATATGTATCCTGGGCTGGAAACGACTTCCCTCAGTATGGGGAAGGGAGAGAGGAAGGGAGGGTGTACGCAGCACCACGCTAATTCTGGGGGGGATCAGCCAAGAGCCAGAAGGAGGAGGAGGGAACGCAGAGGGGAAGGAACAGGCCCTTCGTTTGGCCGTGAAACTGCTAACAGAAGCCGTAGACCCAGACTCTTCCTCCCACCCGGCATGCGATCGCACTCCTATTTCTGTGTTAGTGTGAGGGCTAATACAGTCTCGCGGCTGGCCTGTTCACAGGGCTTTTCATTTGCTGGGTTCGTTTTGAGGCGATCAAACCCCAAATCAGGTGATGACACATCTACACGAGCACTTGATCGAATAGCTTGCTGCAACAGAGTCAAATCTCCCCGCATCACCTCTCATGTTCCCGACCGGTGGCTGGACTCACCGACACGACAGAGACCGCAGCACAATGAAAAGAGGGAAAAGTTTTCTGTCTCATTAGTGAGCCCAAGAGGACGACTGCATTGCCAGGTATTTGCTAACACTAACGTAAGGTGGGAGTGAGACTTCATCCTTCCAGCAGTAAGTGATTTCAGCCCTACTAGGTAACGGCACATTAAATCTCTCACTGTACGGCATTATTTCCACAAGTGAGCCATTTCAGAGACTCATTTCCATACCCTAAATTAGCACATCTCACTAAATGCATACAGACAAGGCACAGACCTATAGCATCAGGGCCATCTCCCCAGCTTTAAGCGCAGATAATCTCATTATTACTCACACCTTCCCATTTACACATCTAGCAGCATACGCTAGCCCTTTTTGCCACTTTGCTATTTACTTGCTGGACCATCTACCTTCTCTGCCATTTCCAGCTACATCTACAATTTACCTTTCACCTCCCAGAGTCAGGGATTTTCAGCAAAAAAACTCCCCCACACAGGTGCAGCTGGCAATTTTTGCTCCTTAATGCATAACTCTGCCCTCACCTTTATTTTTTGCCCAACTGTCTCAGTTTGTCTAAATGACCTAAACCATTTTTTTTAATGTCATCATTTATACCTCCACTATTCTTTGTTCCATCCGCACCGTTACCATCTTGCATTTGTTTCCAGACTGCACCAGGCTGATCCCAACCAGAAACGTTTTTCTTCTTTGATTATACTCGGTTCTTAATCCACTTAAGCAGTACTTCATTAAATTCAAAGATACTTTTTAAAACCAAAATATACCACACTACTAAGTTAAAGACATTATAACACCCCGACAAAACCCCTAGCAACCAAATTTCACACATCCGAACAACAAAATGGCATTTGAGCAGACCTGTTTTCAGAAACTGAAAAGCTGAATAGTGTGATTATACTGCTATTCTTACACCATCTAAATTCTTTATCAAATTTTCCATGTTTTTTTTCCTGGAACCGATACCAGATTAGCCACTCCTTACTCACTCACCCTTTTCCAGTAGCGATGCAAAATGTTACTGGTCTTTTGCTCTTCTGAAGTCTCCCTGCTATTTCCAGATTTATTAGAAATCAGTCTCAGCCAGATAGCTAGAGACTTCATCAAATGACTTAAAATTCCCTTCCTGACTTCAGCTTCCCATATGAATTTTCTAAATATATCTTATTCCTGTATCAGTTACCATCTTCTACCCTTTTTCTCTACCCATTATATGCACCTTTTATTTTTAAACACTATGTCCCTTCACAGCAAGAAACTAGCAACTGTCAAGAGGACTAAACTGGAGAACAGGAAAAAGGTCATTTTCAGGATACTTTTAATAAGCACCAAGTAAATCCTGGGATTTATGAATGTATATACATACGTATTAAGCTCAAATTATAATCGGCACATAATGCACTTCTCCAATACAGCTTATTTTTGTGGCAGGGAGGAGGGCAAAAAGGACTACTTCAGTTCACTCCTGAATTCATTTTGGCTTAAATAAGTACTTGGAGTTCCCAATGCCATTTCATATATTTAGGAGATCACCTGTTTACGTGTGCAAGTGTGTGAATCCTATATATAGATTAACAGATGTCCCAAGAGCCAATCCAAGGCTGCTGGACATGGAGCTCAGCCAAAGGTCTAGAATGACCAGAGAAAATCAAAGTTACTCAAAGACAGACTGGAGTGTAAGTCCTTCAATCACAAACCAACAATCTTCTGTTTTCTTTAGCCCTGTACTTAACCTTTAAATCAATTTTCAAACCAGGAATAAATCAGGTCATATAAAGGAGAGTATATATCTGCAGGCTATACGTTAAGTTCCATACAGGTACCCTTCTACTCACCGCTTTCATTCAACTTGTGTCACAGTCAGTGCAACATTTTGTGAGCTTTGCATGCTTGTCTGATTTGCCCACACAAAATTGGGCGTAATTTATTTATTTCACAAGCATGAAAAATTCTGAATTATAGTTAAAGTTTGAACAAGGTGTTTATATTTCTAATGAACCGTTCCAAGAATTAGTAAAACATTCCAGAGAAATCTGGGAGCTGGTATAGAGGACTGCTGCCAGCAGTTTAAGAGGGGTAGACAAGAATTGGGGGTGGGTACTAAGAGACAAATAACATCGCGATACAGCTACTATCTACAGAGTCAGACTGTTAGCGAAATACAGCAAGTCATGATTACTTTTTGTTTGTCTTACCATAAAGTTGCCTTAATAAGGAACCCACAGGCATATTCCACGACCAGAGCTTACTTCTGCCTTGCTCATGGCTGGTGGCAGCTCAGAGCAGTATATGCTTAATACACAGAGGTTGCACCCATATGGATGCTTTCAGGCCACGCACAAGTCTAATCGTAGTACAGGGGTGCACTAGTAGTAAGCAGTAGCAAGAACAAATATTTACAACGAGCTAAGGTGTTTTTTGCAGCTCGGCATCTAAACGTGCAACAGCGTGCCTGCCCTTACACATCCAGATCCGAAAGCTCTCCGATTTCTCAGCCACACTTCGTGTTGAATAGTGTGACTAGAACTACTACAGAAACTAGACTGCAGCCTCTGCATCTCAAGACCAAAAAAAAAAATAAATAAAAATCTCATCTTAGAGGCTATGTCACATACCAGGACAGGTTTATGACAACAAATTTTAAAAAATATTCTGCATTTTGTGTTTTTTGAAGAGAAGCACACAGCTCTGAACTGCAGCGTGTTAGGTTGAATACAGACTCTCTGCCAAAGGGAGTCGGTGTTCACATTTCTCCCAAATCTTTTCTTCTAAGGAATCCCAAGCGATACTCAAGGTTGCCCAACCAAGGTAATGATTAGGCACAGCCATATGGTGGATGACAACGGAGACGGCGCGAGCAGTAGCGCAGAACAGGAAGGGAGGAAGGCTGCTATAGCCAAACAAAACCCCATAGAGGCAGAACTCCCTGGAATTTGGGCTGGGATACCTGTGTAAAAGGGAGAGTGCAAGATATACACCGCATATTAACGA